CTATTTAATGGTGAATAAAGCAGATGTTCAAAGAACACAAATCAATTCTAAGTGGAGAGGATGTACTTTATCACACAATATGAACAGAATCTATTAGGTTCTTAAGCTACACACACTCATAAGAGACATACGACAAGCCATTACAGAGAATAGGTCAGATAGAAGTACTAAGATTCAGTGTCAATGCTGTGGAACAACTACAAGTGAATGCTTTATCTGTATAAAGGTCATTTTTATAGGTTACTTTCTGAAGATATATAGAAGCAGAACATATACAAACAAATCAATGGAACACCGATGGGATCCCCAGTATCAGGACTGATTGCAGAAGCAGTAATGCATAGGTTAGAATGGACAGCACTCCCCACTATACAACCCAAACTTTGGGTCTGATATGTAGATGACACCGTCGTGATTATCAAATGCACAAAACTAGAAGAAACCCGCCGACACAGAAACAACATCCTAACTGGGATAAAATTCACAAAAGAAGAGAACAACAACTGACTACCTTTCCTGGACATAATGGTAGAACGCAAAAACGACAGGGACATCCAGTCTAGCGTATATAGAAGGACCAGATACTCAATTACACTAGCAACCACCCCAATGTCCACAAACAGAGCTGCATCAGGACACTATTTAAACAAGCCACAACACATTGCAGCAACCGGGAACTATGCAAAGCAGAACAGGAGCACCTATACGGAGTCTTCAAAAGGAATGGGTTCCCAAAAAGCACAATCCACTGTTACCTCCAAGACAGACTGCAACAGCAAGACACAACATGACCAGACTCATATCAAGAACATTTCAGGGATGACCACAAGACTACTCAGACCCCTAGGAATCAGGGTAGCCCACAAACCGACAACCACCCTACGACAGCTACTGACGAACGTAAAAGATACCATACCCAAAACCAGCAAAAACCTGTGTAATATACAAAATACCATGCAAGGGCTATGAGAACGCTGCATAGGCCAAACGTATGCCAAAGGAAGAAAACTGACAATATGGATACGCAAACACCAACTAACCACCAGGAGACATGACCAATTCTCACTTCTCTCACTACACATGGACAAAGAAGGACATGTATTCAACTGGGTCAACACCTCCATAATCGCACAAGCCAAACAGAGACACGCCAGAGAATTCCTGGAGGTCTGGCATTCTAACGGAACTCCATCAACAAACACACTGAATTAGACCCTGTGTACAAACCACTGAGAAACAGAAGCCAAAGTAATATCAACCACCCCAGCAAACCGAGGAATGTAAATAACAAGTGGGACAGAACACCGACACTTCACTGGAGGCGCACTGACGATGTTACCTAGCAGGGTGACGAAATGTTTGCAACCAAACCCACTGGCTTGGCAAGCATGTTGACAACCTTATCTGCTATCTAACTGTATGGGGAAATAACATAGCATGGAGAGAATGATATTTTCATTGCATCAAAATACAGGCCAATGGGGCTGGATCTTATGTTTTTTGACCAAGTCCAAGTTGTGCTGAGATTTTTGGAGGGTGAGCAACTTTTCTTGCTGTATCTTACCAAACTGGCCTCATTAATTGTCTATTATGTTCTTATGGTATCTCTCATGTCCAATTTTGATACAACTGGCCGCAAGCTGTTCCCAGAAAATGTTGCCATTCATTGGATATCCCAGAATTCATCAGCATCATTGCACTCATACCAACTTCAGAAGCCTGTTGTGCACCAGGATAAGATCTGTTGTCTGAGGTTCCCCTGCATTGCTGCTGACATTTTCCCAGGGCATAAGACCATCATAAATAGGAACAGGAGTAGACTGTTGGCTGCTTGAACCTGTGGTGCCATTCAATAGGATCATGGCTGATCCAGCATTCCTCATGTCCAGTTTGCTCCCTTTTCCTTGTAACCCATGATTCCCCTACTGATCACGAATCTATCTATGTCAGCCTTAAACACTCAGAAGGATTCTGCCCACCACAGTTTTATTTGAGAAGGAATTCCAAAGACTGTCAACTCTCTCAGAGAATAAATTCTTCCAGATCTCAGTCTGAGATTGGCTCTCTTTTATTCTGAGACTATGCCCTCTGGTCCTAGACTCTCACACAAGGGGAAACATCTTCCCAGCATTTACCTGTCAAGCCCCTTATGAATCCTGTATGTTTCAATGAGGTCCCAACTCATTCTTCTAAACTTCAGTGAATAGATTTCCAAGTTTTTAACTTTTGCTGATAAGACAACCTCTCTGTATCGGAGATCATCTATGCAAACTTTCTCCGAATTGCCTGAAGTGAAATAACATCTTTCCTTAAATAACGGGACCAAATCTGCTCACTGCACTCCAGATTTGGTCTCACCAGCATTTTGTACGGTTGCAGTAAGACTTCCGTACTCTTATACTCCAAACCCCTTGAAATAAGGGCTAACATTTCATTAGCCTTCCTGATTACCTGCTGTTCCTGTGTGCTGGTTTTCAGCATTTTGTGCACAAGTAACCCCTAAATCCCTTTATGCTGCTTTTCTCCATTTAAAAATACTGTTCTTTTGTTCTCCCTTCCAAAATGAACAAGTTCAAATTTTCCAAATGCAGACGGGTGGAAATTGGTGCTCCACTTTGTCAGAAGGATCCTGGTGGTGCTGCTGGATGGGGTGATGCTGATGTGGGATTTCACTCTCCCTCAGGACCAGCAGTGCAGACCACGACACCAGATCGTGCCAGCCTGCTCTAATGCTTTAGGGTTAAAGTCAGCTGTGATGGTTTCAACCATCTGAAGGAATGCACAGCATGATAAAGAACAATGTCAATGTCCTTCTCCACTCCGTCAGCATAGCTGCTATGTTCTTCTCTCTGAATCTCACACACATTCCAATCTACCACTGTGTTCACCTCCCACCACAGTTCATGCACTTGTGTATGCGGCATCTTCCCCACACTCCTGCACCCACCCCAAAACCCAACCTCACCCTTCATGCCCTCTGTGCTACCTACACACTCACTCAGAAGACCTCCCTGTCTGTACTAACAGTAATAATTGTGCCATACCCTTTCATCTCCTATAATAGCTGTTCTTCCCTCATTCCGTGAGGAACACAGCTCACAACAGGACGGAAAGGGTCAAGACATTGTGGTATGCTACTTGTCATTCAGTTTGTCTCCCCTTATTTGGAAGGATCCTGACTTTGACCCTTCCAAACAGGGCTTTGACTGGTATCGGGGGCTACCTTGACCTACTGTGCCAGGAACCCCTGAGTGAAACCTATCTCTCAATGACTTGACTGAGCCCTCTTGATAACTATGGGTATTTGATTTGTTTGTGTTTGCGCTAAATAGCGCAGCAAGACAGCTTGGTTTCCCTGGATAAGGGGACAAACCACACAAAGGCAAGGAAAGACAATGTATGTTAGGGATGCTGTTAGCATCCAGATAGGCTCAAAATGAGCGAGCGTACCGACTGCAAGCAAAGATCCCCAAATTACCTCCTCATCCAATCCATGGCTGTGTCACGTCATTGGAGCGCACAGTGTCCTTGCTGCAGTACTACAATGAAAGTTGTTACTGCAGCCTGAGGTGCATAAGTACAAATCTCATATTTAGTCATTTTTATTCCACTATAAATTTCCATGCCCACATTTACACTGGAGAAGATTTAAGCATTGGTTGCAGTGCCGTTCCTCGCAGCAGTATGAAATGACATGATAATAGGTTTACATAAACAGTTTGCATTGTAAATTGGAAGCTATGGATTTGCAATGTAACAATATAAATAAAGACACAATGAATTAATTTAAAATGGTGATGTGTCTGTTGATGGATTTTGTTGTTGGATATTAATATAAATGTGAACACGCACAACAGCAGGAATTGCAGTTCTTTCCATAAAATAAAACAAACAACTGTGATGTTAGAGGCCTGAAATAAACAAAAACAGAAATTACTGGAGAGGCTCAGCAGGTCTGACAGAATCTATGGAGAGAAAATAAAACAGTACTCTGGAAAAGGATTGCTGGACTCGAAATGTTAACTCTGTTTTCTCCCCGCAGATGCTGCCAAACCTGTTCAGTTTCTCCAGCAATACTCTTGTTTGCCACAGTTCATTCTGTTGGGCACAGGTAGTGAGAGAATTGCAAAATCCTTATCTGCTGACTCATTTACAAATGTACCAATCGTATTATGTTTGTTATATTTCAAATTGACATTAATACTGAATACATGACTACAAAACACAAATCAGAAAGATGATTGACAAACTAACTAGTTAAACATGTGCATCTTGAATAAAGGAGATGATAAAGGATGGGAAACAATTTGTAAAATGAGAATAATGCTTTCAGGTGCACGAATTGGGAGCAACATTCAGACACCACCCAGAACTATATACTGAGGCAAAACTGTTTCTGCGCAATGAGTATTTAATTTCTCAGGATTGAGCCTTCTGAAATGTACCATGAGATGACATAAGTGAAATGCTTGCAACAAATAATTAAAAAGCACTAAACTTTCAGCATATTTCATCTAATTAAATTCAAAGACTTCTAATTAGACGATATGTTGTAAAGTGGTCTATAAAATATAATCAAATTTATTTTAATTAATGACAGTTTAAAATACCCATGGGCTTCCTGAGTTTTTAGATAATTAGAATTTTATTCCTGCTTGTACAATAACTTTACCTATTATGGCTCTGTGGAAGTTTGATCATTTGATTGGTACTTTAGATCTGTTCATCCAATCAAGGAAGAAATGTTACCATATGATTTTTCTGAAATGAGCTGCCAAAGTACCATGTTGGGAGAACCAATCATTATTATACCATGCACGTAGAGATAATCTCCTCTCTACCCAGACCAAACGGAGTCCAGTCAAGTCTTCAATGAAAATCACAATCTGTATGGATCATTTTGAGTCAAGATAAAAGGATAACTATCCACAGGATCCAAAATCTGAATTTGCTTCAATGTCTGGTATCCGTGTTCTAAGCTTTCTTTTATTTCCTTTCAGGTTGTGCTTTGATAATAATGATCTGTAGTGGACACCTTCTTGTGTATTTTGCATTCCAAGACAACCTCATTGATCCACTTCTGGATGACTTTTGAACAGAGAAGACACCTCTCACAAGAGCTGCGCTGTTGAACTGTTTCTGTGCCTTCCCTGTGGGATTGGACTGGGTTGGAATTTCTCATTTGGCGTACTTGGCTCTCACATAAAAATGTAGGAATGAGAAAAGGCAATTTAAATGAGGCAGGTCATTCAGCCCTTTCTATTCTGTTGGAGAGACTGATTAAAACATCAAAAGATATTTTCTATCCACAGCTGTTGAGATGGATTTATAGTTTATCAGCTGGGTTTAAACTGGCACTGGGACCTGTCATCTGTTACAGTAATAAACTAATTCTCGCTTACATCCAAATTACTATTGAGCCATTTCTGTACCAAGCAACTGATCCACAAGGCAGTCCTATGTTGGGAAGTAGTTTGAAATTCTATCACAATACCCCGTGTGTTTGCTGAATCATGAGTGAATTGCATGGAGGGAGCGTTGCTGCACTAGGTGGCAGTTTATTCAACAAACTCTGTAAAAAGAAAGTTTTTATTTTCTGGATTGATCACATAGCTTTTCTCAGTTTGTAACAATGTTCTGTGATTGTGTGTGTGCTGTTGGTGTACGAAATGCCTTTCTACATTGTATCAGCTGCCTTTGGTACTTTAAAATGCAGGATCATCTCTCTTAACAATGCATTTTCTTTTCTTATGCAAAGATGACAGGCAAGGTAATGCTTAGGCTGCAAACACACACAGGGGATGGGTCACTGGACCTGAAACATTAACTTGTTTTCTCCTTCACAGATGCTGGCAGACCTGCTGAGCTTTTCCAGCAACGTTGTTTTTGTTCCTCATTTACAGCATCTGCAGTTCTTTTAGTTATTAATACTAAGGCTGCTTTGTTCAGCAATTGTAAGTGAAAGTGTTTTCTTAGAGGGAATCAAGATCTAACTACCTAGCAGTTCACGTTAAACTGAATGAGTGACATGAGTGACTTTGGTAACGTAATTAATTAGAAACATTATTTTAAAAAATTGGTATGAACTGCAGGTAGATTTCTCATCAGATGAAGAGAAAAACGTGGACAGTATTGACATGTATATTCAGCAATTATTAAGAAACAAGGTTCAATTTAGGTATGACCAAAAAACTGTTGCCGATTGACTCCCCAGTGTATTCCCCACTCGATCTTCCTTCCCATTTAGATATTTTTCAATAATGCCAGGAAAATGATGGTGTAATTACACATTACAAGTTTGCTGGTCTGTTCATACAAAGTAGCACTGGCCCTCCTTTGACAGTATTTGGAGGTTAAATATCCCAAAAGAGTTTAATTTTAATAGTTTGAATGGCACTATATTGAACAGCAGATATTATAAATCCAAAGAAACTGCATAGCTCAAGTGTAAAAGAACTACAGTTAACCTATTTATGTTGTCTTGCTTGACAAATATCACAAAAACAAAATTGAATGAAAGTGAATAGTGTTCAGTTTTAAAATATTTGAGTTTTACTCCAGGATTACAAGATCGATTGAAATGTTGTTGCAAACCAATGGTTTGACAGTTAATGTTCATAAAGCAGACCACGATACTCTCAATGTGGATGGAAAATCTAGAGAAATAATGATAAATTGCTATTTTATTATAATATTGTTCTCTGTAGACATGGATATAACAATACAATGTGAAAATGCATTTGATCAATTGCTGATTCAATTGCAATCATCGGGTTAGCAGTTGGCGTAGCCATTGACATCAGTCAACAGATAACAAGAACCAAGAAAAGACAGATCCTTCAAGAGAAACTAGACAAACTAACCCACCAAAGTGACAACCATACAGCAGACGTCTGGATAAGAAACCCTTCAGACGGGAAATTGACAGATACAGAGAATATGTCAACTGCTAACCTGGATCAAAGATGGACAGAACCAACGTTATACACAAGATTCCTTGCAAAGATTGCGACAAACTCTACATTGGACAGACAGAAAGAAAATTAGCCACAAGGGTACATGAACACCAACCAGCAACAAAAAGACACGACCAATACTCCCTCATCTCTATCCACACGGATAAGGGGAACCACCAGTTCGATTGGTACAACACCAGGATCCTAGGACAGGCCAAACAGAGACAAGCACGGGAATTCCTAGGGGCCTCGTTCTCCACTAAGAAGGCCATCAACAAACACACAGAACTAGACCCTATATATACTCCACTACAAAGGAAAAGTGAAGTAATCCAACTCAACGGACACCAGAGTTTAAATAACAGGTGGGAAAACACAACAGCACTTCATCGGAGGCTGCACTGATGATGTTACCCAGCAGGGTAATGAAACATCTGCGGAACAACGAACCAGCTCGGCTCGCCAACCAACCACAATATCCACAATCCGAGCTACAAATCTACTCTAAAACCATAGAATGTTCTAAAGTCCCGATCTAGTATTCTTGTACATGTGGTGAAGTCACTAATGATGCACAGTTCTTTCTGTAACCATGGTGGATGCAGCTTGCTCAGGAAATGCACTATTGAAAAGTTCTATCAGTCACACTTTCAGAAGAACGATCAAGTTTCGTTCTGATTTCACAGCAAATTTGTTTCAGAATCATGAGACACAAGCTGAGCGGCTTGTTTTATTATAGCAGACTTTCTCCAAATGAAACTCCAAGGCTAACAACACTGTTCAAATGGAACAGCAATGAAATCTAGTTGTATAACTAGTTTGGTGTTTTCCCTCAAGTAAATTCAAGAACAATGGTCATCAATTAACTGGAATCATACAGTTTCCAAGAAATGCTTTGTTAAAAAAATGTTCCAATATGGCTTTTCATTAACCTTTCCAAAAAAAAATCCAGACATTTCTACAATCCTTCAAAGCCAGTCCACTGAAATCATTAAATATGAAGCATCTTCCTAACAGCAACATACCCCTTTTTATACAATAGATCTTGGCATTTAGAGCAAAGTACTCTTATGCCCTCTTTGTAATCTTAACCCTGTTTTGTCACCTTCAGTGAACTGTAGACACACACTCCAAGCTCCCTTGGTTCCTCTCCACTTTTCTGAATCCTACTGTTTGATCCTTACAACATTGCTTTGTTGTTCTTCCCAAGTGCTTTTCTTCATATTTCTCTGAATTGTATCCCACTACCTACTTTTCTGACTAGTCCATCAATACCTTCCTGCAGTTTAGTTTTCTCACCTACTCTGGACCATATTGTGAATTCTCCTATCAATTGTAAACTTTTCAATCACGTTTGTAAATCTAGTTCATTGGAGCATTAAGAGAATAGCAAGTTTTATGACCTGTCCCTGGATGAGTTTCCTCGTTCAATATGGTTCCAGAGGAGACACTCAAATTTGTCAAGCTGTCTGGTGAGGAGGGACGAACTGGCTCCCTTTCTTTATTCGCCCACCCGCCCTCGACCAGATGGTTGTAATGAGTTAATTTAAGAAGGATTCCCTCACTTGTGAATGCCTTTCTCCAAAAACAAATGTATTTATATTTTTAAAACGAGCCAATTTAATCAGACTTTCTTGAGTTAACAAGAGATTGATTGTATTAATTAGAAAACAGGAGAAGAATCATGATACAACACACATACTCGCAGATTGGAAATGAGAGGTGAGTCCAAAAAAAGTTCATAGTTAAAAACGATATAAAGATCAGTCTGAGTTCCATAAAGAGTAGACAATGGGACATTATGCCCATTACAATGGTGACACCTGTATTGCTGATATTAGTAGGCAACACATTGGTTTTGAGATGCTTAGCATTGTGGGTCAGCTGAAAGGCCTTTTTTCTGTTTCTATTTGACAATGCTTTCACTTGCTTTCTGGTTTCCAGCAAAAAATTTAGAGACTGCTCTTCTTTTCACCTGCAGTGCAGGGATAACTAGGGGCTTTCTCAGCTATGATCATTACCGTGCACACCTTTGCCCAACTGCACATGCACACCAGCATTGAAAGTGGCTTTAAATGCTTGTTCTTATGTACTGTTGGAAGGGGAAACACAAACATCTCTCTTGCCTAGGCTGCTCTTTTCTCCCATCATATTCACAATTTGAGATGGCTCAGGTGTTTACAGATTAGTTTGCAGTGCATTTCTTCCCTTTGAAGTCCTTTTCTTTGGAGCTTCCTTGACATCCATAAGGTGTGACATTCCAGCATCTCCCCCTCGAGGCTGGGGATAATCCAAACACACCTTCCACACAGTCACTTAATTCTGTTGCTCATAATTTATATTTTCAGTCATTTTGTGGCTATATGTCCTCTTTCTAAAAAAAAAATGTGGTAATCAAAAGTTCATTGTGTCCATCAGTGATTCAGGGTTTTGATCTATCATCATGGCACAAGAGATGCAGTGCTTAGCCCTGTGAAAACTCCACTAGAAACAGCCTTCTTGTTGTTAAAAACATTGACCATACCCTTTGCTTCTTTCTATTGAACCAACTTTAAATGCAACATACCATTCTCCTTAGAACCTATGAGCTTTTAATTATCTGACTGGTTTACCATGTGGACCTTGTCAAGAACTTTGCTGAAATCCAGAAAGAGAAACATATTACCCTCATGAATCCTCTGTGTAAAGTCCTTAAAAAGTTCAAGCAGGTTTGTCACCATCAGCTTCCTTTAAAAACTAAAATTGAATGTCTTTAATTAATCCACACCAATCTAAATAATGATTTATACTGTCACTCAGCATTTTTCCAGTAATTACTGAGTTGGATTAATAGACCTGCAATAACTTGGACAATCCTTTTCACCTTTAAACAATTCAATCCTTCAGCACCAGACTTCACATATTTAAAGTGCACAGTTTTGCCCATTCACTTAGTCTATCAATATCCCTTTGTAATTTTATGCTATCATCTACGTTGTCTACAATGTCACCTAATTATGTGTCATCAGCAAATTTGGGTCTATGACTTTCTATGCCATTATTCAAGTCATAAATAAATAATATGAACAATTGAGGCCCTGACTCAGATCCTTGTGGCACACTACTGGTTAAATCCTGTGTGGAGCTGGAGGAACACAGCAGGCCAGGCAGCATTAGACAGAAACTGATGGTTCCCAACCCGAAATGTAAGCTTTCCTGCTCCTCTGATGCTGCCTGGCCTGCTGTGTTCCTCCAGCTCCACACTGTGTTATCTCTGACTCCAGCATCGGCAGTTCTTACTATCTCTGACTGGTCAAATCCTGCCAGCTCAAGTATCAACCCATTATCCATAAGACCGTAAGATATAGGAGCAGAATTAGAGTGTTCAACCAATCAGGTCTGCTCTGCCATTCGATTATGGCTGATATGTTTCTTAACCCTTGATCCCCTTATTAATCAAGAACTTATCAATCTCTGCCTTAAACAGTTTCAATGACTTGGCTACCTCAGCCTCCTGTGGCAACGTGTTCCACAGTTTCACCACCCTCTGGCTGAAGAAATTTCTCCTCATCTCCTTTCTAAAGGGTCATCCTGTCACTCTGAGGCTGTGCCCTCAGGCCTTAGCTTCTCCTTGTAAAGGAAACATCTTCTCCACATCCACGCTCAGTATTCTGTGAGTTTCAATTAGTTCTCCCTCTCATCCTTCTAAACTCCGCTTCTCTTATGACAAGCTCTTCATCCTCAGGATCAGTCCTGTGACATTCTGCTGGTGCCCCTCCAAGGTCAGC